AAAAAAATCCTAATATTTATTATTTTAATACAGTTCGTCATTTGACTTTATAGATTCTGTTCCAACTGGCCGAGAATCAAAGATGTTAAAAAAAAAAAGAAGAAAAATTAAGAAGCATAGGGGAAAAGCTTCATGTCAGTTTTTATTACTGATACATTTTTTTAGACTCTTGCAGTTTAATGTGGAATAATAAGCTTTTAAAATAACTGTTTATATAGGACCTACATAAATGTTTGGGGCTCCTACACAATAGTTTGATAGCCATTCCTTTGGGCTAATTTAGGAGAAAGACCTGCTACTGAATAGCTTGAACAATATAGCAGCCAGATGGTTTTTGATAAAACATTAATAAGACCAGATGGTTTGTCATAAACTATTATAGAAAAAGACTTTTAAGACATGCAAGAAACGCCATCTACTCCTAAGTCTTCATTTATCATTATTGTAAAAGAAAAAAAGTTCTGTGGCTGCCATAGAACCTATAATTTAAAGTTAGAAGCACTTAGTTCATGCAGCTTCATGCAAACTGTCCTCTATTATTGTTAGAGACATCACTAGATGACTCATTAGGTAACCACAATCTATTAGACATCATCATTTTTGAGAGCAGCCCTGAGGAGAAGGACTTGGGGGGGTTAGTTGATGAGAGGCTCAACATGAGCCAGCAATGTGCGCTGGCCAAGCACATCCTGGGCTGCATCAAAAGCAGCGTGGCCACCAGGTCGAGGGAGGGGATTCTGCCCCTCTGCTCTGCTCTCCTGAGAGCCACCTGGAGTGCTGTGTCCAGCTCTGGAGCCCTCAGCAGAGGAGGGACATGGACCTGTTGGAACAGGTCCAGCGGGGCGCCATGAAGATGATCAGAGCACCTCTGCTATGAGGACAGGCTGAGAGAGAGTTGGGGTTGTTCAGCCTGGAGAAGAGAAGGCTCCAGGGAGACCTTAGAGCCCCTTCCAGTACCTGAAGGGGCTACAGGAGAGATGGGGAGGGACTCTTTATCAGGGACTGATAGGACGAGGGGTAATGGTTTTAAACTGGAAGAGGGGAGATTTAGATTAGATATTAGGAAGAAATTCCTTACTGTGAGGGTGGTGAGACACTGGAACAGGTTGCCCAGAGAAGCTGTGGCTGCCCCATCCCTGGAGGTGTTCAAGGCCAGGCTGGATGGGGCTTTGAGCAACCTGGTCTGGTGGGAGGTATCCCTGTCCATGGCAGGGGGTTGGAACTCAATTATCTTTAAGGTCCCTTCCAATTCTAACTATTCTATGATTCTATGACCCTATCCTCCCCTTTCTGCCTATTTTCTTAAAATCATGGGAAAATCATCAAATAACCACAAGGTTTTCATAGGTAGTTGTTTAGAAAGTTACATCTACTCCAAAACACAGTCACCGCAGGGATAGGAGAGCTTTTACAGTGACAGATAGGAGCCCTGTGCCACAACACCCGCACTACAGAAAGACAGACATAGCACCACTTCCCCAAATGCCAACTTCAATACTGGAGGCATCAAGATCTGACCAAGTTGGAGCAAGCAGGCTAAACCGAGTTAAACTGAACATCTGCCTCCTCCTGTGTCTGAGTGTGGCACTCTCTGGTTGTCCTTCCAAGGGACTAAATGGTCCTTTCCTCACATATGTCCCTAAAGGCAGCAGGGCTGAACCTGGCAATAAACCAGTCTCTAAATAGGGGCAAACTCATCTCACAGGCAGAATCTTCAGGTGGGTTAAATACGCTGCCTTCCCATCACTGCCATCAAGAGCCAAATGGACAGAAACTGACAGAAATGGGTGGGGAAATGCAGCAGAAGGGCTTTCTGGCTGCCCTGAGCTCACACTGTCCCTCCTGGCTTCCTGCACCCTCCCACTGATGTCCCCTGAGCAGGACACAGTCACTCAGCCTGTCACAGCCCTACCAGCAGGAGAGCGAGAGAAGGCTGTTGTTTGCAACAGGAAATGTTTCTGAGGAGTGAATGGTACTGGGGGAAGCTACAGAGCATCCCACCAGAACAGGAGATGAATTTTAATGTGAAATACAAATGAGGTTGGTGAGTTGCTTTGAAAGAAGTGAAAAAACAAAAAAAAGCCTCCTCGGATCTTTTATTCTTGCAAAAGGAAATGGGGGGAAAAAAAGACATTCATTCTTTTTGCTGGTGATTTGGCTTACGTTGCTGGACACCTTTAAAAAGATTTGCTACCCCAAATAGCCGCCTTTTCTAAATGGAAGCCCAAAATAGTTTGACTTCATTTCCATTTCCTCCACAGAACTGAAGCCAGCAGACCCTTCTCCAGCCAGTGTGAGGCTTTATAAAAGCCTAGTGTGCAGCAACAGAGAGCTCTGGACAAGCTCCTGACACCTCAAAATACAGGCTGAATTTGAGCGAGCGCCTTCCAGCCAGGCGGGATGCAGCCTGAGACACCTCACTGATGGCTACAAGGCATTATATACCATTAGTAGTGCTGTTCGTACTGAGCCCATAAAAGCATTTGGAAAAGTTTTTAAGATAGAAACCGAAAAGAAAATATGAAATAGCCATTTAAGAAACTCCCCTTTGCAGCCAATTTTGGACTTACACCCTAATGTCAATGGTTGAAAAAAATAAGGCCAGATTATGCCATCGTACAAAAAAAAATTATAAAAATCTAATACCAAACGCTTAGAGGATGCAAAAACCGGTTCTGCACCTGCTGGAACAACCATTCTGCAACGCTGACACCTCGTGGTGGCCTGTGAAGGAGCGCCTGTCTTCGTATCACACGAGGAATTTCACACAGAGGTGGAATAAGAGCATAATTGTGTTCAGTTTGGTTTCTTTTTCCTTTCAGACTACTCTTTTTTTTAGTTATTACTCACTCATTATGTGTATTACTCATTTTTCATGTTGTGGCTCTGATGTTCTCACCTCAATTTCGTCATTTATTGAAATGAGGTAGCCAAATCTTGTCCCGTACCAAAAGCAGTTTGTCCCAGAGGCAAAAGCTTCTGTTTTTCTCCTTCTGCTCTTTCTGCAAGAGGAGCTTCTCCTGCAGGGGTAATGCAGAAGGGTCTCCTAATGCAGAAGTGATGCCCTTCCTGCTTCAGCTCAGGAGATGGAGCGTGTGGCAGACAGATCCCAATGCAGACCCCACTCAAAACGTGTATTTCTCTCATACGATGAATCCTAAATGTCTCCTGTTTGCAGCCAGTTTTGATAATATCCTTTGAAGCTTCTAATTGCTGTATAGCCCAAAAACTGTTTGCTAACACCCAGACCTACGTTTCTGGCTCTTCTAATTAATGAGAAGCATCTTAAAATCATCCTATGCTGGCCTGTGTCTTTCAATGCTTCAGCTCAGGAGATGAAGCGTGTGGCAGAGAGATCCCAATGCAGACCCCACTCACAACGTGTATTTCTCTCATACAATGAATCCTAAATGTCTCCTGTTTGCAGCCAGTTTTGATAATATCCTTTGAAGCTTCTAATTGCTGTATAGCCCAAAAACTGTTTGCTAACACCCAGACCTACGTTTCTGGCTCTTCTAATTAATGAGAAGCATCTTAAAATCATCCTATGCTGGCCTGTGTCTTTCAAACGGATAGATTTCTGCCTGAAGATTTTTCTTGAAAAGATGCAAATATCCCTGGTGTGGGCACCCTGTCTTTGGTGTACACCCAACTGTCAGTAACGTCCTTAAACTGACTAGCAACTGTCACTGTTTTTATTTGCCTCCTCCCTCCCCAGGGAATATTTCCATGGTAATGCAGTTCAGTGCAACTTCCTGGCTTGGTTTCTCAAAATGTGCTTCGGCAGACACTTGGCATTTGAAATGAATCACACGTTGCCACTCCCTGGAAAAACACATGATGGCTGATGAAACGTGGGCTATTACTGGCCACTGTGGGGGGAGTTTATTACTGGAGCTAGCGATTCTTCAGCTCGGTGCTGATCCTAAAACGAGGTCTCCTGAGGATGTGTGGGTGCTTTTTCTCAGGATGAGGCTCTAAGAACGGTGCTTTGTGTTTTTTTTTATTAGTCCATAAAAAGTGAATTATCACAAATGCAGATACTTACTCAGTTCCATTCAGGCTATTGGTTTGAATTTCTGTAAGCAGGTGCAAACCCAGAAGGGAAATCAATTTATCATTGATTCACTACAGATGTCACCTGGGGAAATTAGAAAGGGGTGATGGATTAAAACCTGCTGAAATTAAGTGGAAGTTTTGGGTAACGTACATAGGTAAGAGTGGAATAAATGAATGCTACTTTAGCTATATGCATTGACTGTTACCTCTCACCCAGGGCTGTTCATTTAAGGACCTGCAACTTTCAGCTTCTTTTTGTGCCAAAGCCCATTAAGATCTGGTGACAGGGCACTTATGACTATATCCTGCAGCCTCCAACACTCTCCCTTCAAACCACAACAGAAGTACCTGGCCTGTGGCATGGTTCACTTGAAAAAAGATTTCTTGGATGTTTATTCTCTTGAAAATCTATTCCTTGAGTTTCTGCAGACATCTGTTTCTCACCACATTGGTCCTTTGCCACCATCAACCCACCAAGCTGTTTCATTCTGGTGTCCCACTGCATTCAAAAGGCTGAGATACAGCCACGGTGCTCAGTATTTCATCCTGTAGTTTCTGAACCTGTGGTTCATGCCCCCCACGCTCCATGGACCACATTTCTCATTTTCCACAGTGCTGCTCTTCTTCAAGGTCCCTTGGGCCGGGGACAGAACCTTGGCTTGGAAGCCCCCCTTCTCATCACTGCGCCTTCGCAAGGCCAACAGCACCAACCCTCAAGCCGCGAATCCCCCCTCATGGCAGGATTCTCAACCTCCCTCAGGCAAGGGGCCCGGTGCTGGCAGGCGGAAGGGATGCCGAAAGAGACAGAAATTGCCCCGGGATTTCTCAGGAGGGCCATGGCAGCTGGGCTGGGGCGCTGCCGTGGCCCTGAGGCGGCGGCCCCGCGCGCTAACATGGCGGCAGCGCCTCCGCCCGCTCCCCGGGGCGCCGCCACCGCCGCCCTCCCCGCACAGCCCGGGCACCCGGGCGGGGCTTGAGCTCCCCTCGCCTCGCCATGGCGCCGGCAAGAAGCCCTCAGTCCCTTCAGGGCTTCCACCGGGCTCCTCGCTGAGCTTCGCCCTCGGCTACCTGGCCTCGGGGCGCGGCGCGGCTCGACACACCCCCGCGGGCGGAGCTCGCCGCATCCTCGGGGATCGCCGGGAAAGCCGTGAGTAACGGGAACGGGACGGGGGAGGCGGTAGGGGCCGGGCGAGCCCCGGCCGCCGCCCATCCTCCCTTCCCGGGGGACTGAGCCCCCCGCGCCCCTGCGGCGGAGCGGGGCAGGTGGAGCGGGACCCCGCCGTCCCGCCCGAGCTCGTCACCGCGCTGAGGAGGAGCCGCTGCGGCCGCCGCGCTGCCGGCCGGAGCTCGGCTTTCCTTCCCTGCCTCGCCCCTGCCTTCCCGGCGGGGAGAACAAGGCTGAATATCGTCAGTTTCAGGCGTGGTGGCTCTGAGAGGGTCCTGCGGGGCCGTAGGAGCGTGTGAGGAGGGTCCCCGCCTTGTGTGAGCGCCCCTTCTTTGTCCGCTGAGGACAAGGGCGGCTTTGTCTCCCCTTCACACCCCGGGCCCGGGCCCCGAGTGTGCGGCTGCTGCCCCCGGGCCCTGCCGCCTCCACCTCAGGGCGGCAGCTGCCAGCCTGGGGAAGGGGCGCCGTGTTCCCCCCGGGTGCTTCGAGCCGCTGTGGCGGTGGCAGGTCTTTGGAGGCACCTGCTATAAAGTCCTGGAGGCACAACAGCAGGCTGTGTCCATGGGTAAAATTTATTGGGGGTGTTTTCAGGGACTGTGTGCATTCAAGGACTGAAATTTCTTGCGTGAGCATGGAAAAAATAGAATGGTTTGGGTTGGAAGGGACCTTAAAAGATCATTTAGTTCCAGCACCATGGGACACCTTCTGTTAGATGAGGTTCCTCAAAGCCCCATCCAGCCTGGCCTTGAACCCCTCCAGGGATGGGGCAGCCACAGCTTCTCTGGGCAACCTCTTCCAGTGCCTCACCACCCTCACAGGAAAGAATTTCTTCCTGATACCTAATCTAAATCTCCCCTCTTCCAGTTTAAAACCATTACCCCTTGTCCTATCACTCCACTCCCTGATAAAGAGTCCCTCCCCATCTCTCCTGTAGCCCCTTCAGGCACTGGAAGGGGCTCTAAGGTCTCACTGGAGCCTTCTCTTCTCCAGGCTGAACAACCCCAGCTCCCTCAGCCTGTCCTCACAGCAGAGGTGCTCCAGCCCTCTGATCGTCTTCATGGCCCTCTGCTGGAATCGCTCCAACAACATCCCTGCTAGGCTTTGCATATTAGCTTTTATGGCTGCTTTTTAATTTAGATGGGCTAGAATGGAGGTGAAAATAACTATAAGGTTTTGTAATAAAACACACGTACTGTTTGTCATGGCTTTCACATTTTAGTTGCCTTTCGGCGTAAACTCCCAACTTCATTAGGATTCAAAGGCCATTACCGCTGCTGCACAGCAGAGTTAATGCCCAACAGCTCCTCTGACACCGTGGCTCCTGCATGGTCATCTCTGGCCTTCAGGGCTTGTATTTCCTCACAGCTTGGATTGGCGAGGGGTGTGCTGACATTTGGCAATCCGGTTGTCACCCTCTTCCCAAATTCCCTGTACGCTGGGTAATCTTGTATTAAATAGGAGGAAAAAAAAAAGCTTTTCTGTATTTTTTGTAAAGGTCAGTGTATGTGTATACAGAATGTAAGAAATATTAGGCAACTGTTGAGAAATTGCTTTTTTTGCTGACAAAGGTAAACACTAATTATTCATAAAATGTTTCTTTGTCTGAAGTCGCACTATATTGAATTAGGGACCTGTGATAAAGGAAAGAAGCAGGGGAAGATTTGTTTGCTTAAGTAAACAATGAAGTTGCTGTAAATACCTTTGCTTGATCTCATTCTCCTCTTTACTGAATAATCCTCCCATAGCCCAGGTTCAGGCTATTTTTAAATTTCTCAGTAGGCAAGGAAGGTGGTACTCCTTTTTCTGTTTTCACGCTTAGCTATCCATCTGCAAGAGTGAATTCACTCTGACAGGCTTTTCCTACTACCATCGACACCTTCCCTTTTAATTCTGCCAAACCAAGCACAACTCTAACAAAATTTCTAGAGGAAGAAACTCCAAAGGCAGAGTCTTCTTCATGCTCCGTAACCGTGTCCATAACCGCTCCGTGTCCATTTGGTCGGGATGCCCTCGATCCTGGTAGCTGCATTACCTCCCTGATGTTGGCTAAGGGGAAATGCAATTGCTCTATGTCTTTGTTTTGTGAACTAGTGAAACAAGATAGTTGGGTGCATTTTTTATGTTAAAGGCACTATATCCAAAGAGACATAAACGGGATTTTGGAGAGAGTATTCTTGCTTTGCAGGTACAGCTGCACCAGCAAATATGCTCCCTGCAGAGACATTCCCAGCACAGCCAAGTGTGGGAGACCCTGACGTTGTTGCTTTGAGGCTGAAGACAGTCCCATCTCTGCTGCTTGGTGAGTCTCGGCCATCCTCATGAGCACTCTGTGGTCCTTCCCAGATGTCCCAGTCCAAAGCATAGTGAGTAGGAGTGAACTGTGGAGGAGTGAAGACAAACCACCATGAATTGGAAGTTTTAGAGGATGGTGTTAATGGTTCTTCTCATGAGATTTAGTGAGCATGTAACAATTCCAAATCATAGGAACTGTTGTTTTTTACTATTTTATCTCTTGTAAACTCCTCAGAAATGGGTGGACCTTTTTTTTTTTTGAGACTATACCCATGTGAGTTGATTACATAGAAATGGGATCAGAATGAGTGAGCAGTCATGTAAAGCACAGAGATGTTTGAAGAAGGTTATGCTGAGGAAAAGCTGCTAATGCAGGCAACGAGGATGTTTTTGATGGTCCCCTCCATTACAAATCAGTCATCTGGTTGTGAAGTACACAGTCATGCAAAAAGCAGTCCCAGGGAAAAATAAAACTATTTTTTTTGGCTGCTGGGGGTTGAGTTGTCTGTTTTGAATTATTTTTTTTCTGCTGCAGTGGAGCTGTATTACTTATTCTGTTAAAGTGTTCTCGCTGCGATTAAAGCCGGGGAAATTAAGGAGGAGAAATTTAAGAATGCAGAAAATCAATCTATCTCAGTTGAGAGTTTAGGAAAAGGTCAGAGAACAAGAAAGTCAGTGGAAATATTCCCAGTGCATGTAGGTGGGGCTGTGCTGCAGGTTTGTTGCAGCCACAATTACAATGAGAGTCAGAGTCCCAGAAGACTCTTCAGTAAAATGTTACAAAACTTTGACATTGTTCAAATCCTTTCCATGCAGGTGCTGTTGGGAAACACTCTTTACTTGCTTACATAGAGAACTAAGAGAAGGCTATAGGGATTTCATGAGAAGGTAGATACTTCAACATGAATTGGTAAATGTAATGTAAAATATTATCTGAAATGGGATTTGAGAAAAGCTAATGGAAAGGTAAGTTCCCATATGCAAAAAAAGCACTTTTTTGTTTTTTTCTGTCCTCCAACTGATACTAAAGCATGGGGCCTGTAGTCCAACCACTAATATCTTTATTCAGTTTTCCATTTTCTCTCAATAGTCCTGTGTGCTCACTGCCACATCAGTTTTTGTTTGAAGCCGATTCTAACTTACTCTGGCCAGTATTTGTAAATGACAAATCTAACATCTCTGCAGAGTAAGGCAGGTGATTAACCATGAGCGTGTGGATACCCAATTAAGATATCTTATGATCTTAGTTGACCTTTCTGGTCATTGTCAGCTGGGGGATTCAGAGAAATGCTGCCAACTTAAAAAAAGCTGATTTAATTCTGGAAATATTATTAGATCAAATAACAGAGTTGAAAAAACTCGACAAGATTAGATTTTTTTTAAATGATCAACAATTAGTTTGTTAGAATTGTGTGTTTAGCACTTGTGAATGGTCATTTTTACCATTTCTCTCATGAGTTTAGCCACTTTCCGTTATTGAAAAAGTTCCTTGTAAATACAGCAAAAGGCATTGCTTTGGAAAAAGGAAACCTTACATGATAGGAGTTGCCAATATTTTTTTAATTTAAGATATTTGAACGCTAGAATAACATAATGTATGTAGCTGTTTAGCAGATATAAATAAGAGTTGCAAATAACATATGTTCAATTTAGCTGTAGTTATGCTAATGGAAAATAGAAAATTGGAAAACATTGAAGGTAAAAAGGTTCAGAAAGAAAAATATTAATTGGATCGTTCCAGGGGCGTAATTCAGAAACAAAACTTAGTCACAAAGATGCCAGCACAAATATTTGTTGCTATTTATAGGATTATTTTTACTATCCCTCTGTGTTTACTCGCTATTAAAAAGATCAAGATAATTTGTGTGAATTACCTTATATGGAGTCAGGTGACGTTCTGTGAGGTAATAAAAGAAGGACTCTGTTCTCCTCATCCCTGCCAGTCTCTGCGGGGTGCTCATTAGTAGATGCTTTTTCTTAGAATTTCAGGTAAGTTTTTGAAGATTTTTTTTCCTCCCTAGCAGATTAATTACCTCTTGAGTGTTCCTTGAAGAAACTTTTCAGCTGTAGGTTGGAATATTTATTTTTTCACGCATTTATTTTTTTCTTCGTTATTTGCATGATGATAAATTTCATGCATTATTATTGTAATGTTTAGGCCTTGCATATCATGTTTACAGTGCGTTGTTCTTTGCTTATTCACTGTTGCTTATTTAAAATTTTAACTAAAATTCTTTCATCTGTTATTGTGAAAACCTTTTAACTTTGGGATAAGTGGTATGAACTGTCATGATTCCACCTCAGAGTGGAGAAGATTTGGTGAAAACACTAGCTGTTCCTGCAGTAATACCAATACTATGAATAACTCTTAGAGTGGCAGTGTAAATATTTATACTTTCCAACTGCAGTTGTTGAAAAACACACATATTCTTTCAGGCTTTAATTGATTCCCCAAGATGTTTGCAAAAGCAACAAAGAATTTTGTGAGAGAAACTGACAGCGGAGGTGACCTGATCCCTGTCTCCCACCTGAACGCCTCAGACAAACTGCAGCTTCTGAGCTTAGTCACAAAGAGGAGGAAATTCTGGTGCTGGCAGAAGCCAAAGTATCATTTCTTGACAGTCACCCTGAGTGATGTGCTCACTGAAGACAAACCGATAAAACCAGGTAAAGCCGTACTCGGGCAGCGCTTTTATTGCAGATAAAAAGAGAATACAAAGCCTGATCTTCTCTGCTGTTATTCTCAATCCTGTTACTAGAGGGCTCCTTTCACAAGAATGCTCTGCAGTATTCTCCATCCGTGGAAATGAGATGACTAGATCTTTTCTTATTTTACTATTCATTTAACTAAAAGCAGTAGTAATAAGTGTTTGTTTAAAAAAAAAAAAAAAGGTTTTGCCTGCATAGTCTACTGAAATTGAGTGCTGAAGGTTGTTAAGCCATACAGTCCTGCTGTCTAGTAGCAAGCCACAGGAGCTCCCCGAGAATATTTTTGGGTGATTCCAGTATGAGATAGCATGAAACTATACTGCGCTCTGGGTCAAAAAGCACTGGATAAACAGTTGTCCTGTTGGTGACAGTAGCCCAGGGAATGTGATAGCATGAAACTATACTGCACTCCGGGTCAAAAAGCACTGGATAAACAGTGTCCTGTTGGTGACAGTAGCCCAGGGAATGCTTGCACAGGCAAGGCCAAGCAAGTTTTACGACTGCTTCCTTTCTTCTTGCACAGACTGTTAAAAATGGTCGACCCTTGTACTTCTTTCTTCATCCAGCTGCAACAGTCCTAACCAGGTTTTAGGATTAATGAGCTGGAATCCCATATTTCTGGGCATGCCACAATTCCATCCAGGAAAATAAACAAGTCCCTAAGTTTAGATTTTAATTGTATCTGGCTTGGAAGATTAGCTGATTCTGAGTCAGTTCTTTGGTTTATAGGTGTATAAAATTCAGGGTTGGTTTAAGCCACTTAGATGCTTCCACTGGCTTTCAGTGGGCTTTGGGACAGGCCTGTAATGAGATATGTCAAGATAATGGCAAAATATTAACTCTATTATAGCAGCAGGTCTGCTTTGTAGTTTTCCCTAGTAGCTGAAATAAGTTTCAATCGTTCCTTGTAAATCTTCCATAGTACTTAAGCTCAGCATTTCAATCACCTTATGTTTTTCTAAAATGGCAAACTATAAAAGACAGCAGAGCAAAGATGATGAAAATATGGAGGCAGCAGGAGAAAGAGTTGTAGAGCTGTCAATTTCGTTATTTACATGCTCTATACTGTTCCTTGCCTTCATTAACTTGTCATATTTTCTGTAAGTTTCGTTTTTTCAATCACTTCAGGACTGTTTCAGCCCTTCTCTTCACAGGTTGAAGTTACTTTTATTGCTTTTCTAGTAATTGTGGAGTCTGACTTTGCAAAATACATGGGGAAGTTTGAAGATTTTGTTCAAGGAAGTATTGGAACTTCATTTGGAAACATCAGCCTGGGAGCTGGAGGGAAGAGCTATGTGGAAAACCAGTCCTCGTTTGGAAACCTGAGGAAGCAGGAGATTGACTTGCAGCAGCTTATGAAAGACGTCAAGGACAGGTACGTTTTTAATGTGGGCATTGTAATGGCCTGGAAAGATTTCTGAGCGGAAAGATTTGGGCCAGCTGTGGTCACTGAACAATTGTTTCTGTCGTGTTACCATAGTTTGAGAATTATTTTTATTGTAAACTCTTATTTTCAGGTGCTAAATCATATATGCCAAAATGAAAATGTCCAGATTTTAAGAGCTTGGTCAAACCTTTCACTTTTCATTTTAAGAACATCTCTTTGCAGTTTCATCTTATGTATTTGCATTAATTACTATGTGAAACAAGGGTCAAATCCTTCTTTGAGGGACTGTACTGAGGTGACAGTCTGGGGGGGGAAAAAAAAGGGATTAGTTTCTCTGTGTTACTGAGGCAAATTCTATGAAAACTGAATTCAGAATTACCATACTTTATATTTTTTGTGTGTGTGTGAGCAACTGTGCTAGAAAATTGGATTATTTGAAGTTGAAGTAGTAGTAAAGGTGAGCAAGCATAATCAATGCATGTTCTAGTAGTTGAACAAAACATAGTTTATTGCTCGCTGTTACATGCTGTTCTAACTGGGAGGAAACCCCCAGATTTTTCTGAACTATAATCTTAAAACCAAAACCTACCTGGCAACCAGCTGATGAGTCAGGGGTCTACTGTGTGTTGCTGAGGGACCTACTCAGGGGAGATCAGGGTGGTTCGTTGGTGACAGCACTGCACCCTAAATCTCTAGGAGGAGGTGTAATAAATTTTAATAGCCTTTGCTGATGCTCTGGAGATAAAGTTGATAGGTTTTTGTTATCAGTGGAAAAGTTATCAGAAGCAGTATAAATCTTTAGATACACTGGTGTTCTAGAAATAATCAATTCTCCATTTTCGCGGGAACAAATGGCTGCTATTTTTATCATGAGCATTCACAAATCAACAAACTTATTCCAATAAAGCACCTTGCTATCTTTGTACTTAAATATCTTATTAAAAGCAGAAAATACTGGGCTAAATATGGAATATAGAAAATACTGGCCCCTAAAATTAGTATGCATGTAGTATCAGAAAAATAGTGTCAATCAAGATTTAAAATTTTGTTTCTAACACTAGGCAAGAGTCCTACAGAAAACCAAACTAGAGTAACTTCTGCTTAGATCAGGAAGCTTTTCCTTAGTTTTCTGCAGTAAGTTAACTACTCGTTTAAAACAAATAATTCTCCTATAGCAAATCAAATTTACTTCAGCGCAGGTTATAATCCTGAATGTAACTAAATACTTAAAAATATATTGTCCACTTTTGAGTGTGGAAAAGCAGTAGCTCTACACTGATCTGAATATAACTGTAAATGAGGTTAATGTGTGTGCCCCTTTATACAAGGAGCTAATTCTTAGATGCTCATAGCTTATTAAGGCTTATGATGCAAAGTGTAGAATTGATATCCAGTCCATCTGGCTTCTGCCAGGTCACTGAAAATTATGAGGAAAACAGAATTTTTATTTTAATAATAATAATGCCGAGGCTCACTGGAAATTGTGACAGTCCCTTACAAATAAAATTCCAGTTACTCATTCGTAAGTATTCTATGATTTATGATAGATTGTGTCCAAGCTTCTAGCTTTTGTCTCATCCATGGAGCAGTGTGTGGAATTAGGAATTCAGCAGTTGGGAGTGCTGGGGCCTACAAGTTACTGGGTTTTGGATACCAAGCTTTGTGGTAGTAAGAGGACGTTTACTCCTCAGTCCTTGTGAGATGAGAGTCAGCAAAGTGTTCTTGATTTCATCTAATGACATACGTTGGTTGTGCTTGTTTGATCAATTATGGTTTCATTTATTATTTCTACATATATAGCCTAATTAAGTTCCATTTTAAAATGTTGTTCTTGTGTTAGGCTGTTCAAGTCAAAGTTGCAGATAAATAGCAGAAAGCAAACAAACAAAAAAAGTCAAAGCTGATGTGCCTTCTGAACTAAGTCATTTGAGTCTTCAAGGTTCCACAAGCTGGAAGTGCTGAGTGGCAGCAAATCGGTTTCCTGTCACTTCTTATGTGAACCTTCTCAAGGAGAATCCTACTGATCTTTTAATTAGATTCCAGATGCCACACGGGCTCTCCTTTTCTGAAAAGGGATGACAGCTGAAGGATGCGGGGTGAGATCCTTCCTGATTTGGAGAAGGAATGATATTGGAAATGCAGAACACACGTATTAACGTAATAAGCAATACAAAAAATCAATTAAATGATACTTTTAGGTGTATAAACAGCATAGTTTATTTTATATTATCCTTGCTTTTTGTATCGCATCGCACTTGCTAATTCACAGAGCAGTGTAACATACTGGTTTCAGGTCAGAGTCCTGTGCCTTTAACTCGGTGGCATTGCTACGGATTTAAGAGTATATTCCATCTTCTATTTTAAGGCTTTCAATACTGTCTGCCATAAGATCCTGAGAGAGAAGCTGCTGAATTATGGGCTGCATGAGCAGACAGTGAGGTGGATTGAAAACTGGCTGAATGGCTGGGCCCAGAGGGTACAAAGTCTAGTTAGAGGCCAGTGACTAGTGGTGTACCCCAGGAGACAATACTGGGTGCAGTCGTGTTTAACATCTTCATTATTCATCTGGGGGATGGGGTTGATGAGTGTACCCTCAGCAATTTTGCTGATGACACAAAACTGGGAGGAGTGGCTGATAACACCCAGAAGGTTGTGTTGCCATCCAGAGGGGACTCAACAGGCTGGGCTGGTGGGAACCTCATGCAGTTCAACGGGAAGAAGAAAGTTCTGCATGTGAAGCAACCCCAGGTACCGGTGTGTGGTGGGAGCTGACTGGTTGGAAGGCTGGTTTGCAGAAAAGGACCTGGACATCCTGGTGGACACCAAGTTGGACATGAGCCAGCAATGCATCCTTGCTGCAAAGAAGGCTGCTGGTCTCCTAGGCTGCGTGAGGAGGAGTGTGCTGGCAGGTTGGGGGAGGTGATCCTTCACCTCTGCTCAGCACTGGTGAGGCCACACCTGGAGTAATGTGTCCAGTTCTGGGCTCCCCAGTTACAGGGGAGAGATGGACATACTGGAGAGAGTCCAGTGAAAGGCCAGGAAGATGATGAAGCAACTGGAGCACCTCACATTTGAGGAAAGGCTGAGAGACCTGAGAAGAGAAGGCTTAGGGGGTGATCTTATTACTGTATAGAAATACCTGAAGGACGAATTCAAAGAGGACTGAGTCAGGCTCTTTCAGTGGTGCCCAGTGACAGAACAAGAAGCAATGGCCACAGACTGAAACACAGGAGGCTCTTTCTGAACATTGGGAAATGCTTTTTCACTGTGAGGATGACTGAGGACTGGTAGAGGTTGCCCAGAAAGGTTGTGGAGTCTCCATCCTTGGAGACATGATCCTGGGCAGTCTTCTCTAGATGGCCCTGCTTGAGCAGGGAGGTTAGACTAGATGACCTTCCAACCTCAGTTGTTCTGTATTCTCCCCTCCAGTGAAAAGGATTGTGAGGAGGTTATAATCTCTGGTTCCCATGGATTAACAAATTAACTTGTTTGTTTTTCCTGTTTCACTAAGTTGTGTAAGGTGAATGAAATAGAAGTCCTGAGAGGACAGTGACAGCATAGAGAAAGAAACAGGACCAAGTGGCAGCAGTCAGTCAGTCCCCATCAGCTGCAGAAAGGTTTGCCTGTCACACTTCATCATTTCATGTAAGTGATTCCTAACCCTATGATTAGCATATTAGAAAAACAGGCTAAGTGTTATTAGTGGTGTGCTCTAGCACAATTGAAAGATATTTTTATATTATTGCATATTGCACTTTAAATATGCACTTTCATTGACTCAATTATTGTCCACACTGAGACAAAAACAGTGCCTGTTCCTAATCAGAGTACGGTGGAAACTCAGACCATTTTGTTATTTGTTCTTTACAACTCCTTGGGCACTTATGCATTATGATGAGAAAACCATTCATTTTTCTACCAAAGGTGCTACATAAGAAGTCACAGAATGTTATGAGACAGGATTGAATAAAATCAATTGTGTGTGTCTGTGACTTAAAAAATAAGGAGGATGCCAAATAGAAAATAGAGGAACTATCTGTCACTTGCATTCTTGGGGAAGGTGTTCTATGAAGTACTTGTCAGGGTATTCTGTAGGGAAAATTGTGACATGCTATCAATAAGCTGACTATAGCAGATACTGCGTTGCAGAATGACTGTAAGAAGTAGGTCAGAGAGGTTATATTTGAAATGGATTAACAAAAGAAATAGTACACACCTGTGCTTGGTGGAAAGTGTCAGCGTGAGGTCTGGTGTGTTTTACTCCATGGCACTCCGTCTAGAGGTCTTTACTGGAGAAAGAACAAAGCTGGATGAAGACCCTCACTGTGCAGCAAGCAGCATTTGTATGGAAAGCATTAACTGTTAAGCATTATAAATGAAGTGGAGACGACTGAACAAGCTGATGAGTTCTGGCTGTGCAGTGAGAGATGTTTTGTAATTAGTCATGGGGATGTTATGGAAGAAGTTTCATTTGGGTGAGGCTGAGAGTGGGCCACCTGTGTCTCTGCAGCTGGGAGAGGAGGTGTCTTGAGGTGACATTTCCCTGTGCAGGGCTGAAAAGGTTTTTTCACTTGTGGGTGGTTTGGACTAGTGAAATCTTGTGCAGGCAGGCAACAGTGCTGACTTCAGTGTGAGGATGGAGAGTACTCAGAGCAGTAACCATTCTTTTTGGTATTCCTGGTAAATTGGCAGGTACCTTGCTTTGAGAATTTGTAGGCTTGGGTTACTGAGAAGACTGGAGAGGATTTGATGGAAATATGGTCCTAGCCCCCCTCCTTTGTGGACAGTCCAGTTGGGGATTCTGCACCTTAAGAACAGACATTCAGTCTCAGCTGTGGGGTTTGGAGTTGGCTCCTGCTCTCTCCCTTCTTTTCTCTACTGCTTTCCTCATGCAAGAAGAAAAAGGTTGAATAAAAATGAGGGAAGCCTTCGCATTACCGGAGAGTGGGAGTGTTTAATCCAACTTAATGTGTAGAGAGCGAAACCAA